GTGGCAAAGTTTTATAGTCAAATTATATGTTTTACAGTATTTTGCAGTTACATGCTTTATATTTGATAGTTTTGAAAAGTGAGATATTTGCTTTTATTATATATGTGCCGGATTTTTTTGACAGAATAGCATAGTGTTATAATTTGGTTGTGGCTTGAGGAGATAGCCCATAAAAACGTGACAATCTTTGTGTAGTATTAATTTGGCCGTAGCTTGGGAAGATAGCCCCTAAAAATGCGGTAGCCTTTATGTAGTATTGATTTGGTCGTAGCTTGGCGAGATAGCCCCTATAGATGAGGTAGCCTTCGTGTAGGCAAATGGCGTGGTGAGATAGCACCTATATGCTTGTTTTAAGAAAATTATATATTGCAAGTTGTATGTTTGTCACTTCATATCTCAATAGTTTACAACATATTTTCAGTTACTTATGTTTGTTAAGCATGTAAAGAAAACCATGAACTCGCTAGGCGAAAGTTGACTTTTTGTGATTCATCTCTCAGGAGGCGCTGTAACGGGTAGCTCGAGAAGGAAAAAAGAAGATTTAAGAAGACCTAAAAGCCGCTGCAAGTATGTAGAGTGTTGATGTTAATTGTTTTAAAGTTTTCTTGTAGGTTGATGAGCCTATGTTAAGACTTCCACTATTTTTGAGTTTTAGGTGTGAATCTTTTATGATTTATGTTATAGTGTCTAGATGTCATAACCCTGGATTTTAGTGTGTAACAAGGTACAATCCACGTGTCATGCAGAGAGTGGTTTGAGGGTACTACTTGTCAAAGCAAAACAGTCTTTGGCCACTCATGAGCAGTGGAGTTGGTGGACATGTGAGGAATAGTAAAGCAGATCGTACTATACAACAAGTCAGATTGAAGCATGGGGAATTGACTTGTGCAAGTGAGGATAAGACAAAAGCTTGACGCAAGATTCTAAATCAGCTAGGGAGAGGTCGTCGATGTAGATGTCGTTGATCTCTTGAGTAAAGCTTCAATTTCTTCAAATAGGTTGTTATCACTGAATGTCGCTTCAGATCGTCAACGTCTCTATCTTTATCTTCAGCTAGTTCTTCAACATCGTTGAAGTTTCATTTAATGTAAGTCTTGTCTTGGGAAAAACTTAAGTCCTAAAACATATTTAACTACTCATCAATCACTGAATACACTCAGATGTTGGTGTGCTTTTGGATAGAACTTAATACATGAATTAACAGTAAGTACTTAGGGTCATCATTGAATCATTTATAGGGGTTAGGATCAACAGGGATCCCATGTATTACACTGATGAACTCGTTAGGAGTTGGACAACGAATTAAATGCACGAGAAGAATTTAGCTATTCGGGAACGTTTTCCGTATTTTGGAGATAATGATTGTTATTGGGTTTTATTATCACCCGTCCCTAATCTATACTTTGTGTAAGAGTGTTTAATAATTGTTGTTAAATCTTAGATTATCATTATACTAATCAAGTGTTGATCTTTAGATAGTAATTTGTTATTTATTTGATGTATTACAATACTTTTAAATTAGTCGTTTTTTTTTTCAAAATTTGGGAGTGTTACATAGACACTTATTTTCTGACTAACTAAAATAATAATATAAACATTTATTTTAAAACAGAGGAGTAATTAATGTTCAAATATCTAAAATAAAAATGCAATTATTTTTAAAAACTTTTAGTTCTTAAAAATAAAAGTATAAGGGTATTCGTTGAAATGTTTTTAGGGAATTTTTTATACCGATAGTTTCTTTTTTCTGTTTTAGAGATCATTATAAACAATTATTGAGGCATACCTAATCATTATATATATATATGGCCTAATCAATGAGAACTAAATAGTTTGTGGTAACTGTGAGGTCCAATCTCAACCATAAATCAACGTATAAATTAGGAAATTAATAATTATGGTAGTTAGAGTTAAAATTTTTAAAAAACTCTTCTTTCCTCTCTCCTCTCTCATCTCTCCGACCTCCAAACTTCGGCCTCCGGTGAAATCGGTATCACAGTATATCAAAATGGGTATCATATTGTGTATCTTTGTTTTTAAGGTTTAAGTTGTTATCATAGTTGGTATCACAATGATATAACAATATATCACAATGGGTATCACATTGTGTATCTTTGTGATTACTTGGTACCTGCTGGATTAATGTTCACCGGAGGCCGGAGATTGGAGGTCGGAGAGAGGAGAGAGTAGTTTTTTAAAAATACCTAAAATGCTTTATAATGATAATTTTAAATCAAACTACCATAATTATTAATTTTCTAATTTATCCGTTGATTTGTGGTTGAGATTGGATCTCACAATTACCACAAACTAATCAGTTATCCCTTGAATAGGCTCATATATATATATATATATATATATATATATATGGGGAAGATCAAATGTTAACCAACAATTTTATGTTAACTTTGAAAACCATGACAACCAATCAAATTCCATTCTTCTTGTAGGTTTATGTCATGTTCACATTTTAATTACAAGGGTATTTCAGTAAATTGATTTGATATGTAACTCCCAAACAATTAATGGGGAGTTACAAATCATCAAATCCCAAA